ACAGAGTTGATATTTGTGAATTAGTTTTGGGAGGTGTGGATGCCTTCAGGGGAAGATCAAGGGAGAGAGTACAGTGTGGTCCTACCTGTGGTGTGCTCATGGGGTAACCCTCCTCCCATGGGAGGGCTGCGCTCCCAGCTCAGGCCAGGATCCTGGGCGGGGAACCTGCCAGCCTGCATCACAGTTGAAGGGGAGCTCAACTGGCTTGAGGTCCTGCCTGCTGGCAGAAGCCTGGGGGAAAACTGCAGAATAGGGGAGGGTGGAAAGGAGAAAGGCCTGCTCCAGACTACTGGATTGTGGATCTCAGACAGCCCCACATCTGCACACAGACTTTCTGGTTATGTGGGGCCACTTCAGCCCCTCCTTGGCAGCTTTGCCCAGAGGTGGGGAGTGGACCTTTGACCTCAGCTGAAGCAGATCTTTTGCCAGCATTTGTGGAGCTTGAGGGCAGGCTCACCCAAGCCATCCCTGCCCAGCCTCACTCCCCCCACCCACGTCTGCTGTGGTGGAGAATAGGATTCACCTGGAAGTTCCAGGGCCCCGCCCAACACCTGGGGCATTCTAGTGCTTCTCATGAGGAACTAGAGCTGGTCACAGGACCCAAAAACAACATTGAAGCTTGTTCCTTCTGGCAAGCACCACATATTGACAGGGAGGTCAATTTGCACAACTCTTTACAGCATTTACTGACTCAATGATACAGGGTATGGTTGATTCTCACCCATAAGCACCACCTACTGGCTCTGAGATTAAACTGGGGGTGTCATTATATAAACAAAAGAAAATCCAAAGATGAGAAGCAACAGCTGCTCCAGATGAGAAGAAATCAGTGAAAGAACTCCAGAAATATGAAGAATCAGAGTGAAAGAGCACCCCCAAAAGGGAGCACTAGCTTTCTAGCAATGGTTACCAACCAAAATCAGAATATTGAAATGAGAGATGAAGAATTTCAAACATGGATTGTAAGTAAGCTCAATGATATACAAGATAAAATAGAAACAACACAAAGAAACCACAAAAACAATGCAGGAAATGAATGTAACATTCACTAAAGAAATTGAATTATTAAAGAAAAATCAAATAGAACTTCTGGAAATGAAAAATTCATTCAAGGAAATACAAAACACAGTGGAAAGCCTTAAAAATAGGTTAGATCAGGCAGAAGAAGAATCTCAGAGCTTGAAGATGATACCTTTGAATTAAACAAGTCAGTCAAAGAGAGCAGAGAAATAAGAGGAACCAACAAAGCTTACAAGAAATATGAGAATACGTAAAGAGGCCTAACATAAGAATTAGGCATCCCTGAGGATGAAAGAGAAAATACACAAGGATTGGAAAACCTATTTGAGAGAATAATTGAGGAAATTTTCTCTGATCTTGATGTAAGTCTAGATATCCAGGTACAAGAAGTTCGAAGTACCTCTGGGAGATTCATCGCAAAGAGGCAAACACCACGCCACATAGTCATCAGATTGGCCAAAGTAAACATGAACGAGGCGCTCATACAAGCTGTAAGGCAAAAGAATCAGGCATCTCACAAAGGAAAACCCATCAGACTAACTGCAGACTTCTCAACTGAGACCTTACAAGCCAGAAGGGATTGGGGCCCCATTCTTAGTTTCAAAGAGAATAATGGCCATCCTAGAATTTTGAATCCTATAAAACTAAGTGTCTTATATGAGGGGGAAATAAAGAAATTCTCAGACAAGCAAACACTGAGGGAATTTGTCAAGACAAGACCTGCCCTGCAGGAAGTAGTCAGAACTACATTATACACATACCAGCACAATAGACACCCACCAGTGTAAAATTACCCAAAAACTAAAGGTCAAATCCCAGATACCCCCCAATGGGTCGAGAGATAAAGCAACAAAGTTCTACTCAACAAGATGAACAGGAATGCCCTCCATTTATCAATTCTTTCAATAGCTGTGAATGGCTTGAACTCCCTACCGAAGAGACATAGGCTGGCTGAATGGATAAAAAAATACAAGCCAAGAATCTGCTGTCTCCAGGAAATGCATCTAACCCACAAGGCTCATTTGGACTCAAAGTTGGAGGGATGGAAAACAATATTCCATGCAAATGGAAACAAAAAGAAAGTTGGTGTCGCATTTTTCATATCAGATAGCATAGACTTCAAATCAACAAAAGGAAAGCAAAACAAAGATGGTCATTACATAATGGTTAAGGGAACAATTCAACAAGATGACATAACAATACTAAATATTTATGCACCTAACACAGGTGCGCCCAAATTCATAAAGCAAATCCTACTTGATCTAAACAAAATGATAAACAGCAGTACTGTAATAGCCAGGGACTTCAACACCCCTCTGACAGAACAGGACAGATCCTCCAAAGAGAAAACAAACAATGAAGCAATGGACGTAAACAGAACTTTAGAACAAATGAGCCTAGCAGACATTTGCAGAACATGCTACCCACAAACCACTGAATATACATTCTTCTCATCAGCTCATGGAATATTTTCTAAGGTTGATCACATCCTAAGCACAAAACATGTCTAAAAAATTAAAAAAAATTAAAATTACACCATGCATCTTCTCAGACCACAGTGGAATAAAATTAGAAATCAACTCCAACAGAAACCCTCATCTCTACACAAAGTCATGGAAACTAAATAACCTACTGATGAATGATAGTTGGCTCAAGGAGGAAATTAAGATGGAAATCAAAATATTCTTTGAACTAAATGATAAAGGAGACACAAGTTATCAGAATCTGTGGGATACAGCTAAAGCAGTCCTGAGAGGAAAATTCATAGCCATAAATGCCTACATTCAAAAGACAAAAAGATCACAAATCAACAATCTAATGAATCATCTCAAGGAACTTGGAAAGGATGATCAAACCAGTACTAAACCCTGCAGAAGAAAAGAAATAACCAAGATCAGAGGAGAACTAAATGAAATCCATAGCAAGAGAACTATACAGAAGATTAATGAAACAAAAATTTGGTTCTTTGAAAAGATAAACAAAATTGACAGATCTCTCACTAGGTTAACCAGAAGCAGAAAAGAAAGGACTCTAATAAGCTCAATCAGCAATAAAAAAGGAGAAATTACAACTGCTACCATGGAAATGGAAAATATCATCTCTGAATACTATAAAAATCTCTTTGCATTTAAACTTGAAAACGTGGAGGAAAAGGACAAATTCTTGGAAACACACAGCCTCCCTAGGCTCAGTCAAGAAGAATAAGAATTCCTGAATAGACTAATATCAAGTAATGAAATTGAAGCAGCAATAAAAAATCTTCCAACAAAAAAAGTACAAGACCAAATGGTTTCACATCTGAATTTTACCAGACCTACAAAGAAGAACTGGTACCTATCCTACAGAGATTATTCCATAACATAGAGAAGGAAGGACTCCTTTCCAACATGTTTTATGAAGTCAACATCAACTTGGTACCAAAGTGAGGAAAGGACTCAACAAAAAAAGAAAACTACAGACCAATATCCCATATGAATATAGATGCAAAACTTCTCAATAAAATCCTAGCAAACCGAATTCAGATGCTCATGAAAAAAATAATCTATCACGTCCAAATGGGCTTCATCCCAGTGATGCAAGGATGGTTCAACATACACAAATCTATAAATGTAATTCATCAGATAAATAAAAGTAAAAAAAAAGACCATATCCCCTCAACAGATTCAGAAAAAGCATTTGACAAAATTCAGCTCTCTTTTATGATAGGATTGCTTAACAAAGTAGGGATAGACAGGACTTACCTCAAAATGATAAAATCCATGTATGACAAACGAACAGCCAACATCATACTGAATGAGGAAAAATTGAAAGCATTCTTGTTTAGAACTGGAACCAGACAAGGTTGCCCTCTATCAACATTTCTATTCAACATAGTGCTGGAAGTCCTAGTCAGAGCAATCAAACAAGAGAAGGAAATCAAGGGTATCTAAATGGGGGCAGAAGTCAAACTATCACTCTTCGCTGATGATATGATGTTATATCTAGAAAACCCCACAGATTCTGCCAAGAGACCCCTAGAACTGATAAATAAATTTAGCAAAGTCTCAGGTTACAAAATCAATGTACACAAATAAGTAGCATTCATAAACGCCAACAACAGTCAAGCTGAGAACCAAATCAAAGACTAAATACTCATCACAATAGCAACAAAGAAAATAAAATACCTGGAATATATTTAACTAAGGAGGTGAAAGACCTCTAAAGGGAGAACTACAAAACACTGAAGAAGGAAATGGGAGAGGATGTAAATAGATGGAAAAACATATCATGCTCATGGATTGGCAGAATTAACATTGTTAAAATGTCTATGTTACCCAGAGTGATCTTCTGATTCAATGCAATCCCCATTAAAATACCAGTGTCATTTTAATATCTCCCTTTTGCCTGTATATTAGAATGTCACTTTTGCTGGGTATAAATTTATAGTGTCTTCACTTTGTTTCCTTGAAGTTTTTTTAGACATTGTTCTTTGGCCTTTTAACATTGAATACCATTGTAAAAATTCTCAAGCCACACTGCTTTTCTCCCATTACACCCATCATGGTTTTTTTTTTTCTTTTCATCTCATATTCCCGTGGGATTCTTTATCTTAGAATTCCAATAACTTCAGTAGAGTAAGTCTCCGTTTTAACAGTTATTATCAATTATTCCTGAAATACAGTGTACTAGCTAGTCTATTATTTTAAATCTCTTATTTCAGGAAAATTTTTCTTGAAGTATATCTTTGATATTTTTGGTGTGGGATTTTCTATTTTCTTTAGGAATAGCACATTTTGTATAAGTTGAATACCTCTTCCCCAATCATTTTATTGTCTTTGTAACTATCTTGTCTGTTTTTAAAAGTAAGTGTTTTCCAGGTTTTTATAGTGCACAGCAATGAGCCACCCATGTATGCGTAAGTAAACCTTATAAAAGGAACTGAACAGATTCAGTCAAATTTAAGTTAGGGTTATTAACTGTTTTTTTTTAAATTTTTTCAGGTTCTCAAAATTCATTTCTGCAAATTGTAGTTCCAGAGAAAATCCAAACAAATACAAATGACACTTCAGAAACAGACAACGTAAGAGACATTTTTTTCATAATCTAAATGTTTATATGAAATTTCTTATTTATTACATAGCTTGAAATATATCAACCCTATTTTAGTATGAATGAAAGTAATATTTCTACTGATAAGGAATTTAAGGTTTTTATGGCAAAAGCAAATATATAAGTCACAATGTTCTGTTTTAACATTTCTCATTTACTAATGGTGAATTATTTTTTAAAAGTTCACTTACAGAAAATAATGTAGAAGAATTAAGTAGCTTATTTCAGTGATATCTAGGAGATCAACATGAAGAGAATAATTTTATTCAGAATATCTAACAAAATATTTTTTCCCTAAATCCTCCTTTCTCAATCTCTACCCCTGTACCTACTACTTCTCAGACAAGAAGAAATCCTTCATTCTATTATTTTTATTAAAAAGGGAAATACTTTTTTCACTGACTTATTTATAAGATATTTTTGGGGACTTTCCATGTGCATAAATATATGCTAAATGTGTTTGGAGATAAAAAAAGGAATAAATACAATTAAGCCAGCCCAGTTTATAAGTGGCCAATCTTTTGATAGCACTTTATTTTTAAGAGTTTTATTGAGGTATAATTTATACACCACAGAATTCACTCATTTTAAGTGATGATTATCATAGTAGTACATAAATAGAGTTGAGCAAACATTACCATAATCCAGTTGTCACCTTAAAATGTTCCCTCATGCCCATTTGCAGTTCATCCCCAGGCTTTGGAAACCACTGATCTGTTTTCTGTCTCTACAAATTTGCTGATTTTTTTGAATTTCATATGCATGGAAACATACAATATGTAGGCTTTGCATTAGACTTCTTTCACTTAAGTTTATCCATTTTGCAGCATTTATTGGATCATTCATTTTTTTTTCTTTTTGGTCTTTTTTTTTATTTCAGCATATTATGGGGGTAAAAATGTTTAGGTTACATATATTGCCCTTGCCCCCACCTCCCCTCTGAGTCAGAGCTTCAAGTGTGTCCGTCCCCCAGATGGTGCTTTATTTCTTAATAAATGTGGAGACATCATATTTTGCTTATCCATTCACCAGTTGATGGACATTTGGATTGTTTTGAGATACTAGATATTATGAATACTATTTTATGAACATTCGTGTGTGGACATATATTTTCCTTTTTCTTGGGTAAATTCTTAGGAATGAACTTGCTGGGTCACATGGTAAATTTATGCTCAACATTTTTAGAAACTTCCATACTGTTTTCCATAGTGACTGTACCAATTTACATGACACATCGGCAATACATAAGTGTTCCAATTTTTCCACATACTTGTGAGCATTTGATGTTGTCTGTCTTTTGGATTAAAGCTATCATGGTTGGGGTGTAGTAGTATGTCATTTTGGCTTTAATTTGCATTTCTCTAATGAATAATTATGTTCAGCATTTTTTATGGGCCTATTAGCCATATCTACACCTTTTTGGTGAATTATCTACTCAAAATGTTCATCTATTTTAAACTTCAGATGTTTATTTCATTATTTTTGAGTTCTATGAATTCATTATACATTCTGGATACAAATTCTTTATCAGATATTTGATTTGTAATTTGATCATATGTAATTGTAATATGATCATCTAATTTCTGGCTTGCCTTTTCATATTCTCAATGGTGATTTTTGAAGCATGAACATTTTCAGTTTTGATGGCGTGCAGTTTATCAAATTTTCTTTTTATGGATCTTGTTTTTGGTTTTGTATCTAAGAGCTCTATTATGAATCTTGTTTTTGGTTTTGTATGTAAGAGCTCTGTTATAGACTGAATTGTGTTCCCTCAAAATTTGTATGTTGAAGCCCTAACCCTTAATGTGGCTGTATGTGGACATAGGGCCTTAAGGAGGTAATTATGGTTACATGAGCTCATAAGGGTCGAGTCCTAATCTAACAGGACTAGTGTACTTGAAAGAGGAGGAAGATATACTAGGGGTATATGCACACAAAGAAAAGGTCGTGTGAGGATACAGCAAGAAGGCAGCTTTCTGCAAGCCAGGAAGAGAAACCTCACCAGAAATCAACCCTCCTCCATCCTGATCTTGGGTTTCTATCTTCCATACCTGTGAGAAAATGATGTTTTGTTTTGTTTTGTTTTTGTTTTTTTGTTTAAGCCACCTGGTCTGTGGTATTTTTGTTTAGGCAGCCTGAGTAGACTAATACAGATTTTGGTACCATGAAGTGGGGTGCTTCTCTAACAAATAGCTTTGGAACTGAGTTGAGGAAGGGTAGTGGCCAGAAGAGTTTTGAGGTGTATGTTAGAAAAAAGCCTAGATGGCCTCGAGGGGGCTGTTGCTAGAAATATGGATGCTAAAAGCAATTCTTATAAGGCTTCAGAAAGAAAAGAGTTATAGAGAAAGCTTCTATAGTCTTAGAGAGTACGCATATCGTTTTGAATAGAATGTTGGTAGAAATATGAACATTGAAGGTTTTCTAGTGAAGTCAAGTATGGAAATGAGAAACATGTTATTGGACACTGGAAGGAAGGGATCTTTGGTATAAAGTGGCAAAGAACTTGGTTGAATGGTGTTCTAGTGTTTTGTGGAAGGTAGAACTTCTGAGGGGCAACCTTGGGTATTTAGCAGAGGGTATTTCTAAGCAAAGTGTTGAAGGCGTGGCCTGTTTTCTCCTCACCGCTTATAGTAAAATCCAAGAAGAGAGAGATAAATTGAAGGAATTGTTAAGCAAAAAGGAATAAGAACATGAAGATTTGGGAAATTTTCAGCTTACTCATATTTCAAAAAATGAGAAAGCATGTTCTAGAGAGAACACCAAAGGTGTAGCTGGATAATCACAGCATGAAGAGATTACTCATGATTTAATTAGACATCTCAGCTGAAGCCAGGATTATGGCTGGGATTATACTAGCAGAAACACTGCCAGCTGGGACTAAAGGGAACAGAGAAATGGGACAGAATGAAGGAAGGCTGTTGGACTTCTGGGATTTTACAGAACAGGACAATAGAGCTATCTGGCTTCAAACATGCATTATCCTTTAGGAAAAGAGAATAACCGTGAAGGTGATTCGGAGATCATCATGGCTGCCACCACACCACAGGCCCAGGGGTCTGAGCTGTTTTCTCCCTGCTTTCAGAGAGTAGAGCCACCTCCTTGGTTTCAGTGGGCTAGGATGCCATTGTCTAGTACCTCAGGACCCAGAACTGTGGAGGCAGGGCTACTCCATAGAGCTGAGGGAGATCTGGATCATCTGGACATTGCGTAGAACATCATGTTGGACAACTGTAACAATTGCATGAAGTTAATTAGACTATATGAAAAATGGCAACCATTCCAGATGCCCTGGTAAAACGCATGGCCCCAGAGGGTGTGAGATAAACTCTATAAAGATTCAGGGACCTGATGCATCAATGCGTAAGATTTTCGGGGTCTAGTGGTCAGTGGCATGCTGCCACATCCCTTCAAAAATAAAGAATAAATAGTCGCACCTTCTGCCTTCTGTCACTAAGGAAGAGCCACAGCACTTGCTGGGCCTCTTGGTTTGGAGGCAGCACAATTTGCATTTGGAAATACTACTCTGATCCATTTATTGGATGATTGAGAAGTCTGCCAGTTTCAAAGAGAGTCTGGAATAAGAAAGCTCTACATCAGTTCCAGGTTGCAGTACTAGCATCCCTGCTGCTTGGGCTATTTGAAGACCACTTGATATCAGAAGTATTTGTGGTGTAAGCAAGTGCTGTTTGCAGTCTCAGGCCAGCCTCAGTGGGAGAATTGTAGTGCAGAACCCTGGGCTCCTGGAGCAAGGCCCTGTTGTCTTCAATTGAGAACTGTATGCCATTCAGAAAGCAGCTTCGGGTATGTTATGGGTTTTAACAGAGACTGAGAATCTGATCATGATACATTGAATAATGACTATGTGACCGAAGCTTCCCATCACAAATAGGTGACCCATGTTTGGCATGAAAATGATCCACCAGGACTTTTAAAAAAATTCTCATGCCTAGTTTTAACTTTAAATGTAAAAATACAGCAAGGATAGCCTGATAATTGTTACTGGAGGCTCAAGACCCTCTAGGAGGGGCATCTGGATCACCTCATCCACCCCATCAGGCAAGCCACTTAGAATAGCAGAAATGATGGCTGAGGGTGAGGGGCGAAGACAATCTAGAATAGACGGCAGAGCAGAGAGGTGATAAGTGCCAACTGGGGCGTCAGGATCAGGGCTGCTAGGGCAGGGATGTAGCAGGTGTTGTTGGTGTGTCCGCAGCCCCCAGTCCCTGGCCAGAATCACTTTATATATTGGTTTAGGTCGTCCATCCCCTGGCTCATGGGGTACAGCTGCAAGAGTTAGCAATCTTTTCTGGGAAGTTACCTCTGGGTTATTGAGTTACTTCCTGACTCCATACCCCAGAGCTCTTCTGCCAAAGAGTAATTGGTAAGGGGGTACAAAACCACAGCTCCCTTGCCTCAAGGTGGGAAAGAGTCTGGAGTCACAAAACTCCAGAACTCCCCCAGGGGACCAGCCTAAGGCCAGAATGTACTTGAAATCATGTCTACTTTAGCTTCATCTCTCTCCCTATCCTGCTTCTCTCACTCCCTTAAAAGTTTATCCTGAGAGGGCTCCCACAATAAAGCACTTGTAAACGTATCCGTGTTTCAGACTCTACTTCTAGGGAATCCAACCTAAGACACCGCCGAACAGGTCCGTGGTTTTTGTGAAACAGAAAGGTGAATTGTCAATATACGTTGCTGTAAATTCAGGTAACTCTACTTTGTTCAATTCCCAAAATGCCTAAAGGTCTTTAGGGGTTCCAGACCTTTACTTAAATATATTTTGAGAAAGTGAGTGACTTGGGGAATAGATGAGTAGGTGACCAGGAAGAGTGTTTTCTGAGTTTGTTGGCAGTTATCCCAACACTTTGCAAGTAAGATTCTGGTAGACTTATTTGAGAAATCGTATGGGGGAAGTCCCAGAAAGGATGGGATTTCTTTTTTCTCTTTTATTTTTAGTTGACATGTAATAAT